GTTTTCACATTCTTTTAACTTAACATTTGGTTTTTGTATCAGGTACTCCATGCGTTCGCTATAGCTGTTTCAATGGTGGGACGTGTTTTCTTGATAAATTTCAGCCAAATTGTGCATGCAAAAATGGATTTACTGGTGACCATTGTAAATGTAAGTTTATGAAATAGAGCAATCTTTTTTTATAGTAATAATCGAAAACAAAAAAAGTATACTCATATAAGCATGTCCGTTGTCTATCAGCTTTGCATTCCAAGTTTCAATTAAGAAGTTTCGGAAAGGACAAGAGTTAAATATTCAACCGTTGTTATAAAGTTAAGAGGTTTTCCTGTACAAGTATTTATCGTATGTTTTAATGCGCGTTTCTTTATTCTAATGATTGAGATCAAAAGAGGGGAGGGTTAAGATCTAACCATCTAGTTTAACCGTTTTCATGCGCCTGTCTAAATAACATTAACGGTACCTATTTTACTGCACCAGTCAAAAGTCGAACACTTAAAACAAATATTGAAGTGCTGATTAAACCATGCCATGACCTTGTTTAAAAACTAGATAAAAGAATTTACAACAAAAACAACCATTAATTGATGTAATGTTATTTTAAAGGAATGAAGCACCATCATGACATTTTCAAAATATTTCAATAATGTATACTTTTCTCATTTAAACAACAGTCATGGCCCGTTGAACAGCAAAATGACTATTCTGTGAGAATTAATTACAGCAACTGGATTTCTTTTATAATCATGCTTTATTTAACCACGAAAAGATAGTTCAAAACTACTTAAATGTTGTATATTTTTCTTTTCTAGTAACACCATGTTCAAGATCACCATGTGAACACGCTGGGACTTGTTCGGTGATCGGTTCGAGTTTTTCTTGTGCATGTTTAAACGGATTTACAGGATTACAATGCGAAAGTAAGAAATAATACCCTCATTTTACGTGCGTATTTATAATCAATATAAACATTAATATAATCACTATTTTCATTGCATACGGATAATGGAGATGCCATTAAGACAGCAACAAAAAAACGGCCGAATCGAGTACTGGACTATTGATTCCAAAAATAATTTCAATCCCTAACGCAGCAAAATTAAGTCAGAATTAGGATTATTTTTCCAATGCGTCGTATAGGATAAACCTTTAAAACATTTTTGAGATTAAATAATATAATGTTCATTGCTTCAAATCTACAGTTTAGAATTATTTACTCTTTTCGTTTTCGAGCATACATCTACGTGTATACTTCTGGAATCGTTCCTTGAAACCCTCATAGACATATTTTCAAAAGAAGTATACTGTTGACCCACCGTACGATCACGGCAGACACTTGTTGCCTTGCAAAAATCAAACGTCGAATTAGAAATCACAACATGGTTTAAATAAAGGCAACAGTAATATACCGCTATTCAATATCATAAATTAATTGAGAGAAAACAAATCCGGGTTACAAACTAAAACCGAGGGAAACACATCAACTATAAGAGGAAAACAACGGAACAACAGAAACACTGAAGTGCAACAAAAACAAACGCCAACATACATAGAAACGAACTATTTGATAACAACTGCCATATTCCTGACTTGGATCAGGACATTTTAAGAAAAAAAATTAAAAAGAGACAAAAAGCCACACAATATTTCACAAAACATTACATAGAACCATAAAGATCAAGCCATACGATCCTCAATAACAACTGAGGTGAATAAGAGTAAGAACCAAGGGGTTGCTCTAATAAAGCTATCCGTTGTTTTGCTTGTGAAAAAAAAGTCTGTGACAAGTTGAAAAGCTAGTTTCATGGCTGTGTCACATATATTGAGTAATGACAGAATCCGGAGGCAAAGATGTCAATGACCTTAGATATATTTGCTATTATATATAGATCCGTTTGGTCAAATAGCTTGTCACGTATTCAAATTATCATATACTTGTAACAAAACATATTTTCGATTTTTTTTTCAAATAAATATACTCATAACTTATTACGAATTAAATTCATAATAACCAATCGAATTTGCAGTTGTTATAAAGAACTAAACCAGTAATTATTACATTTAAAAGGCACCATCAGATCTTCAAGGGTTTTTGTATGTTTTCACATTCTTTTAACTTAACATTTGGTTTTTGTATCAGGTACTCCATGCGTTCGCTATAGCTGTTTCAATGGTGGGACGTGTTTTCTTGATAAATTTTAGCCAAATTGTGCATGCAAAAATGGATTTACTGGTGACCATTGTAAATGTAAGTTTATGAAATAGAGCAATCTTTTTTTATAGTAATAATCGAAAACAAAAAAAGTATACTCATATAAGCATGTCCGTTGTCTATCAGCTTTGCATTCCAAGTTTTAATTAAGAAGTTTCGGAAAGGACAAGAGTTAAATATTCAACCGTTGTTATAAAGTTAAGAGGTTTTCCTGTACAAGTATTTATCGTATGTTTTAATGCGCGTTTCTTTATTCTAATGATTGAGATCAAAAGAGGGGAGGGTTAAGATCTAACCATCTAGTTTAACCGTTTTCATGCGCCTGTCTAAATAACATTAACGGTACCTATTTTACTGCACCAGTCAAAAGTCGAACACTTAAAACAAATATTGAAGTGCTGATTAAACCAATAAGGACCTTGTTTAAAAACTAGATAAAAGAATTTACAACAAAAACAACCATTAATTGATGTAATGTTATTTTAAAGGAATGAAGCACCATCATGACATTTTCAAAATATTTCAATAATGTATACTTTTCTCATTTAAACAACAGTCATGGCCCGTTGAACAGCAAAATGACTATTCTGTGAGAATTAATTACAGCAACTGGATTTCTTTTATAATCATGCTTTATTTAACCACGAAAAGATAGTTCAAAACTAATTAAATGTTGTATATTTTTCTTTTCTAGTAACACCATGTTCAAGATCACCATGTGAACACGCTGGGACTTGTTCGGTGATCGGTTCGAGTTTTTCTTGTGCATGTTTAAACGGATTTACAGGATTACAATGCGAAAGTAAGAAATAATACCCTCATTTTACGTGCGTATTTATAATCAATATAAACATTAATATAATCACTATTTTCATTGCATACGGATAATGGAGATGCCATTAAGACAGCAACAAAAAAACGGCCGAATCGAGTACTGGACTATTGATTCCAAAAATAATTTCCATCCCTAACGCAGCAAAATTAAGTCAGAATTAGGATTATTTTTCCAATGCGTCGTATAGGATAAACCTTTAAAACATTTTTGAGATTAAATAATATAATGTTCATTGCTTCAAATCTACAGTTTAGAATTATTTACTCTTTTCGTTTTCGAGCATACATCTACGTGTATACTTCTGGAATCGTTCCTTGAAACCCTCATAGACATATTTTCAAAAGAAGTATACTGTTGACCCACCGTACGATCACGGCAGACACTTGTTGCCTTGCAAAAATCAAACGTCGAATTAGAAATCACAACATGGTTTAAATAAAGGCAACAGTAATATACCGCTGTTCAATAGTCATAAATTAATTGAGAGAAAACAAATCCGGGTTACAAACTAAAACCAAGGGAAACACATCAACTATAAGAGGAAAACAACGGAACAACAGAAACACTGAAGTGCAACAAAAACAAACGCCAACATACATAGAAACGAACTATTTGATAACAACTGCCATATTCCTGACTTGGATCAGGACATTTTAAGAAAAAAAATTAAAAAGAGACAAAAAGCCACACAATATTTCACAAAACATTACATAGAACCATAAAGATCAAGCCATACGATCCTCAATAACAACTGAGGTGAATAAGAGTAAGAACCAAGGGGTTGCTCTAATAAAGCCATCCGTTGTTTTGCTTGTGAAAAAAAAGTCTGTGACAAGTTGAAAAGCTAGTTTCATGGCTGTGTCACATATATTGAGTAATGACAGAATCCGGAGGCAAAGATGTCAATGACCTTAGATATATTTGCTATTATATATAGATCCGTTTGGTCAAATAGCTTGTCACGTATTCAAATTATCATATACTTGTAACAAAACATATTTTCGATTTTTTTTTTCAAATAAATATACTCATAACTTATTACGAATTAAATTCATAATAACCAATCGAATTTGCAGTTGTTATAAAGAACTAAACCAGTAATTATTACATTTAAAAGGCACCATCAGATCTTCAAGGGTTTTTGTATGTTTTCACATTCTTTTAACTTAACATTTGGTTTTTGTATCAGGTACTCCATGCGTTCGCTATAGCTGTTTCAATGGTGGGACGTGTTTTCTTGATAAATTTCAGCCAAATTGTGCATGCAAAAATGGATTTACTGGTGACCATTGTAAATGTAAGTTTATGAAATAGAGCAATCTTTTTTTTATAGTAATAATCGAAAACAAAAAAAGTATACTCATATAAGCATGTCCGTTGTCTATCAGCTTTGCATTCCAAGTTTCAATTAAGAAGTTTCGGAAAGGACAAGAGTTAAATATTCAACCGTTGTTATAAAGTTAAGAGGTTTTCCTGTACAAGTATTTATCGTATGTTTTAATGCGCGTTTCTTTATTCTAATGATTGAGATCAAAAGAGGGGAGGGTTAAGATCTAACCATCTAGTTTAACCGTTTTCATGCGCCTGTCTAAATAACATTAACGGTACCTATTTTACTGCACCAGTCAAAAGTCGAACACTTAAAACAAATATTGAAGTGCTGATTAAACCAATAAGGACCTTGTTTAAAAACTAGATAAAAGAATTTACAACAAAAACAACCATTAATTGATGTAATGTTATTTTAAAGGAATGAAGCACCATCATGACATTTTCAAAATATTTCAATAATGTATACTTTTCTCATTTAAACAACAGTCATGGCCCGTTGAACAGCAAAATGACTATTCTGTGAGAATTAATTACAGCAACTGGATTTCTTTTATAATCATGCTTTATTTAACCACGAAAAGATAGTTCAAAACTACTTAAATGTTGTATATTTTTCTTTTCTAGTAACACCATGTTCAAGATCACCATGTGAACACGCTGGGACTTGTTCGGTGATCGGTTCGAGTTTTTCTTGTGCATGTTTAAACGGATTTACAGGATTACAATGCGAAAGTAAGAAATAATACCCTCATTTTACGTGCGTATTTATAATCAATATAAACATTAATATAATCACTATTTTCATTGCATACAGATAATGGAGATGCCATTAAGACAGCAACAAAAAAACGGCCGAATCGAGTACTGGACTATTGATTCCAAAAATAATTTCCATCCCTAACGCAGCAAAATTAAGTCAGAATTAGGATTATTTTTCCAATGCGTCGTATAGGATAAACCTTTAAAACATTTTTGAGATTAAATAATACAATGTTCATTGCTTCAAATCTACAGTTTAGAATTATTTACTCTTTTCGTTTTCGAGCATACATCTACGTGTATACTTCTGGAATCGTTCCTTGAAACCCTCATAGACATATTTTCAAAAGAAGTATACTGTTGACCCACCGTACGATCACGGCAGACACTTGTGGCCTTGCAAAAATCAAACGTCGAATTAGAAATCACAACATGGTTTAAATAAAGGCAACAGTAATATACCGCTGTTCAATAGTCATAAATTAATTGAGAGAAAACAAATCCGGGTTACAAACTAAAACCAAGGGAAACACATCAACTATAAGAGGAAAACAACGGAACAACAGAAACACTGAAGTGCAACAAAAACAAACGCCAACATACATAGAAACGAACTATTTGATAACAACTGCCATATTCCTGACTTGGATCAGGACATTTTAAGAAAAAAAATTAAAAAGAGACAAAAAGCCACACAATATTTCACAAAACATTACATAGAACCATAAAGATCAAGCCATACGATCCTCAATAACAACTGAGGTGAATAAGAGTAAGAACCATGGGGTTGCTCTAATAACGCCATCCGTTGTTTTGCTTGTGAAAAAAGTCTGTGACAAGTTGAAAAGCTAGTTTCGTGGCTGTGTCACATATATTGAGTAATGACAGAATCCGGAGGCAAAGATGTCAATGACCTTAGATATATTTGCTATTATATATAGATCCGTTTGGTCAAATAGCTTGTCACGTATTCAAATTATCATATACTTGTAACAACACATATTTTCGATTTTTTTTTCAAATAAATATACTCATAACTTATTACGAATTAAATTCACAATAACCAGTCGAATTTGCAGTTGTTATAAAGAACTAAACCAGTAATTATTACATTTAAAAGGCACCATCAGATCTTCAAGGGTTTTTGTATGTTTTCACATTCTTTTAACTTAACATTTGGTTTTTGTATCAGGTACTCCATGCGTTCGCTATAGCTGTTTCAATGGTGGGACGTGTTTTCTTGATAAATTTCAGCCAAATTGTGCATGCAAAAATGGATTTACTGGTGACCATTGTAAATGTAAGTTTATGAAATAGAGCAATCTTTTTTTATAGTAATAATCGAAAACAAAAAAAGTATACTCATATAAGCATGTCCGTTGTCTATCAGCTTTGCATTCCAAGTTTCAATTAAGAAGTTTCGGAAAGGACAAGAGTTAAATATTCAACCGTTGTTATAAAGTTAAGAGGTTTTCCTGTACAAGTATTTATCGTATGTTTTAATGCGCGTTTCTTTATTCTAATGATTGAGATCAAAAGAGGGGAGGGTTAAGATCTAACCATCTAGTTTAACCGTTTTCATGCGCCTGTCTAAATAGCATTAACGGTACCTATTTTACTGCAACAGTCAAAAGTCGAACACTTAAAACAAATATTGAAGTGCTGATTAAACCAATAAGGACCGAAAGTATAGAAAATACCGAAATACTGGCTTAACTGGGCTGATGATACCTTCGGGGACAAACAGTCCTCCAGTAGAGGTATCGACCGAGTGGTAATAATAACATTAACGGTACCAATTTTACTGCACCAGATGCACATTTCGGCAATAAGTCAGGATCCTCGTCCGTTGTCGTATGACATATCTTAATATTGTTCGATATTTGGTTTTAATCGCAGATCTTCATAAGAATAAGGAGATGTGGTATATACGGACAAATATCCATAAAATCATGTACAAAGATGTGAACAATTATAAGCCTTCAACAACGAGCAAAAATCAAATCGTACAGTTAGCCATAAAAGCAAGGCCCTAGTATGACAAAAGGTGTAACAAAACTTCAGGAGAAAACGAATGACTGGATTAATACTGCAACAATAAACGAAAAACAAAGATGAAAGTAAACGACTAGTGGCAACATTTGAATTACAGGTTCATAGCTAGAGATAGGAACATAAAAAAATATTTCGGGAATGAACATGTGTGTAAGGCCTCGAACCTCCCCATTTCAACAAAACATGGGAACAAACTCTTAAACAGCACATAAAACAAATCACAAATCGCAAAAAATAAAACAGCAAAAAGTGAAGTTTAGGAGTACAAGCATTTACTGAATATAAATAAAGGGATATAGTATGATTGCCAATGGGACACCTATCCAACGTAAAGTCGGAAAAAGGCCAATTTAAGTACCATATGTCCTCGTACGGTCTTAAACAATGAGCAAAACCCATACCACACAGTCAGTGAACGCTAGTTCAAACCCATATTGCACCTAATGAATGAACCTTGTTCCTTAAGTTTTAAATGTCAATCAGTACACCTCCAACGTATAAATGCGTCATATGTAGTCTGAAAAAACATGACCACGATGACCTTGTGCGATGTTTGTTTCTGCTAAATATCCACTATTATAAAAAGAAGATGTGGTATGATTGCCAATAATACAACTCTCCAATATAGACCAAATGACACAGACATTAACAACTATAGGTCACCGTACGGCCTTCAACAATGAGCAAAGCCCATACCGCATAGTCAGCTATAAAAGGCCCGAAATGACAAATGTTCACAAACAGGTCGAACGAGAAAACTAACGGCCTAATTTATGTACAGAATAATGAACGAAAAACAAATATGTAACACAGAAATAAACGACAACCACTGAATTACAGGTTCCTGACTTGGGACAGGCACATACAGAATGTGGCGGGGTTAAACTATTTTGAAGGCGCCAACCCTTCCCCTTACCCGGGACAGTGGTGTAATAGTACAACATAAGAACAAACTATAAAAATTAGTTGAAAAAGGCCTCACTCATCAGATGGATACAAATATAAATACATCTAACAAAAACACAAAGTGGACATGGACGGGTACTTGTACATCCCAACAACAAAAAGACACTTAGCACAGATCTGAGAGTACTCGCAGTTACTGACAGCTAGTTCAAAGCCAATAACAACTAATAAAAAAATCATTCATCTAAGACTAAACTACTATTAGAACATTAATATAAATAAGAAGATGTGGTATGAGTGCCAATGAGACAACTCTCCATCCAAGTCACAATGTATAAAAAGTTGACAAAAATCCTTGACTTAATAATTTACCAGTCATGCATTGATTACGTTCGTTAAAATCTATGACATCACTACACACACGGGTATAACGATAGAGTTGACGAATTAACTCGGAACGAGGAAAAGTTTTACATATTGTGTAGATACGAGTTTATTGTGGAAGACTAATTGCTGCCCTCTGGATGACTCTTTGGTTATCATTTTTATTGGGTTGCTTTCTTATTTACGTATACCCACCATGAGAATAAGAGAATTGTCTTTAAAGAGGGTTGGCTACTCTTGTTTCAGGCTTTTTGTCAGATATTCAGAATCTTTATCCATGTAGTCCTAATAAAAATGTTGTCAACTAACCCTTTCTTTTCTTTTCATAATTTTATTGTACATTGTTTAAAAAGCCATTTTTGAAAATCTTATAAAATCCTTGTTATTTTTTCATAGTGTTTGAAAGAAAAAAAAAGGTACCAATGTTAAACGTATGAAAAATCTAGAGAGAATCATTTACCACCAACTTTTCAGTTGATTTTATTACAAATACAAGGAGACAAACCTGTCTTTTTTTGTACTTTGTAAGTTCCATTATTTATAAACTATTAATGTATCAAATTCTTTTAAAAAGCTTGTTATTTGGAAACAGAGGAGAAATTGTCCTTAAGTTAATTATTTTAGTTTGAAATTCATCTATATAAAACATAACTAATGAGCTGTCATAACTACCTTATTTGGTTATGAAACTAAAAATTTGGAATCTTTGAATGTAGAATTGACAACCAGCATACTGAAAATAACATCTACATGTTCATAAAGGAAAGAGTCACAAGCATTGCATTATTTCAGAAACTTTCAGCTATTTATACGTCTTTTTGAAACAGAAATATCCGTTGCTCAGAATAATTGAAGATTCTGACACCGAAGGTAAAGTAACTTTTCTATGCAACTGAACTACTGCAAATTTATTCAATTTTTGCTATTTTTACCACGACAAGTTCAGATCAACAAGACTCGAAGACTTTAGTATACAAAAGTATGTACTTTATTTGTTACTTTCCAGTTCCGCCAAGAAAACACGCTGGGAATTGTTCGATGAAAGGTTCTAATGTTACTTGTATTTGTTTAAACGGATTTGCAGGATTGCATTGCGAAAGTAAGTAGTAATATCCTCATTTTACATGCATAGTTATAAGCATTATAAGTGATAATTCATAACTATTAAGATAATCGTTATTTTCATTGCATATGAACAAAAGGAGAAGCGGTTTATACCATCAAGACAGCAACCAAAACGACAGAAATACCCGACATATATATAGGAAAACATTAAATCTTCAACAATTATAGACAGGCGCCTATGCAATATATCCACTCTAATGGTTGACTTGGGTTTAGAAATATTGTCGTCCTTAGTCTTCTCCAATCCGATAGTTAAATCATTGCTAACGAATAACATCTGTTTGGCTGTACGGAAGAAAACAGTAACAAGGAAACTCTAAACTTAAAAAGTTAATACGATATTATCGGAGTATTCGAGTACTCGCAAGTATTTGAAACAAGTAATGAACTATTGATTCTAAATATAATTTCCATCGTTTACGCAATCACGTTCGATCAGAATGAGGACGATAATTCCAATGCGTCTTGTAAGGGATGCGTCGTGTAGAGGATGCAACGATTTATGTACGTTCAGAAACTTTTGAAACAATTTTGAAATTAAACGATTAATAATATAACAAATATAAAATTGAAAAAAGAAATGGGGAATATGTCAAAGAGACAACAACCCAACCAAAGAGCAGACAACAGCCGAAGGCCACCAATGGGTCTTCAACTCAGCGAGAAAATCCCGCACCCGGAGGTGGTCCTCAGCTGGCCCCTAAATAAAATTGTGTACTTGTTCAGTGAAAATGGACGTCACACTTAACTCCAAAACATATAAATGAACTAAAATTAAAAAACATACAAGACTAACAAAGGCCAGAGGCTCCTGACTTGGGACATGCGCAAAAATGCGACGGGGTTAAACATGTTTTGTGAGATCTCAACCCTCCCTGTATACCTCTAGCCAATGTAGAATAAAGAAACACATTGCTTCAAACCGACTTGTTTTAGAATTAATTTCCTTTGTTAGTGTTTCGATTTCCGAGCATACATCTACTTTAATAATTTCGTGGTTTGATCTAGACTCGTTTCTTGATACTCTCATAGACATATTTGCTAAGGAAGCATCAAAAGTCATATTGAAAATCACCATGGTCTGCAAAAAAGGCGAAAAGCCATACAATAGTTCCCTAAACAATACATAGAAACATAAAAATCAAGTCATACGAACCTCGCTAAAGATTCAGGTGAATAAGAGTACGAATTAATAGGTTGCTCTAATAATGCCAATGTCGTATTGATCATGCAAAATAAAAATTCTGTAACAAGTGGTACTCAGTGATAAATCCTGAATAAGGAAAAGTGGTTGGTTATGTGGCTGTGGCTATGACACCGAATCAGTAATGAAAGACCCAGACGACTGCATCTAAATTTTATGATGCGACTTTTATTTTGATTTTCTTCAACGGCAGTATTTAATACATGGCTGTGTCAACCTAAAATTACTTCCTGCAGAAGCATCACTATGCTTCCCAAGTTACGTTTAAAATCCTGGAACAGTAATCTATTTGATGTATCATTCATGATGGCGTCGTGAAGATGACATGATTAAGCATTGAAGTGTCATTTCATGTGCATTGTTTCATTATTAGTACCCCCAAACAATCTAGAATTTTATGGTTATAATTGTTGTATTCATAAGAACAGTACTGTAGTTTTTGGTTTGTTCTACGTCTATTGGACAGGCGTGTCGGTGTCTGTGCTTGTTTTGCACATTGATCTTTGGAAATAAGTAACCCACACAGCATGTTTCTTCTGATTGAGACTACTTGAAGATTAGCCTTATTATAAAAAGGAAATACTGAACACGAACTACAACTTTAAATGACTTGAGAAGGTTTTATATTTATATTTATAATGCAGTATGTTGCCTTGTTATTGGATTGCTAAGAACTTTTCCGCCTACTGATCAAAAGGCATATAGATATAAAAAAGAAGATGTGGTATGATTGCCAATGAAACAACTCTTCACAAGAGACCAAATGACACAGAAGTTAACAACTATAGGTCACCATACGGCCTTCAACAATGAGCAAAGCCCATACCGCATAGTCAGCTATAAAAGGCCCCGAAATAACAAATGTAAAACAATTCAAACGGGAAAACTAACGGCCTAATTTATGTACAAAAAATGAACGAAAAACAAATATGTAACACATTAACAAACGACAACCACTGAATTACAGGCTCCTGACTTGGGACAGACACATACAAACAGAATGTGGCGGGGTTAAACATGTTAGCGGGATCCCAACCCTCCCCCTAACCTTGGACAGTGGTTTTACGGTACAACATAAGAACGAACTATACAAATCACCTGAAAAAGGCTTAACTCATCAGATGGATACAAATAGAAATACATCTAACAAAAACACAGAGTGGACGTGACCGGGTACTTGTATATTTCAACAACAAAAAGACACTAATTAGATATAAGAAGAAATAATTCTAAGACTAAGTACAGATCTGAGAGTACTCGCAGTTACTGACAGCTAGTTCAAAGCCAAAAACAACTAATAAAAAAAGAACCCGTTTCAGAATCATTTGAATCCTGTAAACAATTTGTACTGTAGTTTCAGAGTGGCTATATAAAACTGAAGTCTGTGCTGGCATTCAAAGGTGGTGTTTAATAAATCAAATGCAAATACGCATACAAAATGTAAATATGCAAACACGCATAAAGAAACAATGTTATGTTCAACAATATGTCATATTAAAACTGAACACCACAATCACCTATAAAGGTAAAAATAATTTTCTGAAAATTAAAAAAAAAAAAGGCAAACAACATTTCACTAAAGTTGTAAGTTAAGACATGTCAAGAAAAAACATTTCAACATACATACATATGAAATACAAATAATGATTCCTAATTGGGTGGGCTGGAGGGATAAAAACGTGGTTTCTCTCAAAATTTAGATCAATATTATGTGCTAAACTTATCTCTTTTAAGAAAGATCTAAAGTGGTGAATCTAAAACATGGAGTACGCCCCGAACAAATTAAACAAAATGACTAGCCATTTTAACCAATTTGTACTGTACTTTCAGAGTGGCTATATAAAACTGAAGTCTGTGCTGGCATTCAAAGGTGGTGTTTAATAAATCAAATGCAAATACGCATACAAAATATAAATATGCAAACACGCATAAAGAAACAATGTTATGTTCAACAATATGTCATATTAAAACTGAACACCACAATCACCTTTAAAGGTAAAAATAATTTTCTGAAAATTAAAAAAAAAAAGGCAAACAACATTTCACTAAAGTTGTAAGTTAAGACATGTCAAGAAAAAACATTTCAACATACATACATATGAAATACTAATAATGATTCCTAATTGGGTGGGCTGGAGGGATAAAAACGTGGTTTCTCTCAAAATTTAGATCAATATTATGTGCTAAACTTATCTCTTTTAAGAAAGATCTAAAGTGGTGAATCTAAAACATAGATTACGCCCCAAACAAATTAAACAAAATGACTAGCCATTTTAACCAATTTGTACTGTACTTTCAGAGTGGCTATATAAAACTGAAGTCTGTGCTGGCATTCAAAGGTGGTGTTTAATAAATCAAATGCAAATACGCATACAAAATGTAAATATGCAAACACGCATAAAGAAACAATGTTATGTTCAACAATATGTCATATTAAAACTGAACACCACAATCACCAAGGCAACGCAATGCCACGAACAGAAATCAGAAAATAATTGAGGACAAAAATATCATGGAAGTTTATCAGTTGGAAAGTTTGCAAAAAAGTCCCATTTTGCTTGAGATGTAATAAAGTTTGTCAGTAGAGTGTTTGATGTAGCCCCTGTAGCAAGAGGAAGCCCAATTGCCTATTGTACAAATTTCCGAGTCTGTGCATCCAGCAGCTGATGCACAAGTTGCACCGCCTCTACGCAAGCTATGAAACGAGTATTGTGAAGTATCCATTCCGCAACGCACTAAGAGTTTGTGAAGAATTTTGTCTATGTCTGACTTTGAAAAGGCACAGATCTTTCCCTTACTATCACTTAAACCAAAAGCGGTAGTGCAGGCAACATTTTTACCATTCTAGAATAAGCCAGTACCGGACATAGAACACAATCCTCAACTCTTTTAAGAGGAATCTGGTGAATACTTTTGTGTTTTTGACTAGTTTTTGACCACTGTATATCGATAATTAATCCTTCCTCAGTAATTTGAATATCACCTCTGGTTAACTGCTCCTTAGGGTTAAACGTTGTCCTTGAATTGTAATCGAATTGTGATTTTCTAAGCATAGCATAAAAGCTTATCATAATAACAGCCCACAACACAGCATCATGTACACTTGTCATATCTAGGACTTCAAACATACGGTTCAGATGATATGGTTCAAATGGTAATTTTGTATTTGGAACATTAGTATTAAGCTTGTCAATACCTGACAAGGTTAGCCTGAGCGAAGGTGAATTAAATTCCTGGGGATCAAAATTTAACAGAATGGCCCAAGTTTTAACACCTGATAAGTAGTTTCTAACGGATCCACTACTCTTAAAATTATCTGACAAAAAACACACATATCCGCAGAGTGTCTCTTGATGAACAGGAAATGCTGATCTAAAAAACTTTTCACAAAACAAAAGGTATGTATTAAGCTGAGTCCTCAAATTTTTAAAAGTTTCCGGTCTGAAAGCTGCTTTTAAAACTGTTCTTGCTTTCCGACGAAGTGATAGCCATTCATCTGATCCGGTTTCTGAAATTAAATTGAAAAGTCTAACTTAAATAAGTTATCCGACACTTCAATATCTAACATATAATTGTCATCTAAAACAGTCGACAGTTTTGCATAAGGTTTTTCAAGTGATGTCCAACGCGGAAATATATCTGCTGCTCGATTGTTTATTCCTTGAATATGAATCGCTTTGATCAGAATGTTATATTGAGCACAAATTAACCAAATGTTTCTTGCTATGCTAAGCATGATTTTATCACGACATCTACCTGTATTAAGTAGA